ACAGATTCACAGGCTCCAGGGATTAGGGTGCGGACATCTCTGAGGGGCCATTATTCTTTTTGTGACAGACACTCCCAGAGCCTGGGGGTGGTCAGTGAGGAATTCCCTGAGAAGGATGGTGGGGTACAGCCAGGTGAAGAAACTGGGGAAGAGCCTTCGGGTGGGGGGTGGGATGGAATTTGAGGTGTGCTGAGATGTGTGAGGAACAGAACCAAGGCCGTTGTGACAAGCCAAGTAGTGGGTGGCAAGACAGCAGGGGGAGTCGCTGGTGGTTTTAGAGTAGGGTTGTATTTACAAAGAACATTGTGCTGCCGCGTTGACAGCTGACTTGTGTTGACATGTTGACGTGGGGTTGGAGGTGGGCACATGGGTGTTGGAGGCCGCTAAGGACGCTGTCATAATTCAGGTGAGAGATGCCAGTGGCCTGGCCTTGCTGGTGATGACAGGAGATTAAAGAGAAGTGAATGGCCCTGAGAGATTGGAGGAAAGTGAACCCAAAGACATAGTGGTGGGTGGGTCGGGCAAGACCCCCAGGCTAGATCTAGTGTTGGCCAGGAAGGAGGCCGCATTGTCATTTACTCTGTGGAGGAAACACCAGGAAAGGGTTGGATTTGGGGGGAAGGAGAAGGGAGTGCTCTAGTTTGGAGTAGACTGATTTTGAGGGCCTGTGAGACAAGCCACTGGCAACGTCAATACTCATCCAGTCTGAATGACCTCAGAAGTAAGTTTTCTGGGATGAAAATGAAGTTGGAAATGATAGCTGCTGCTTGAGGCCCCATGAGTGGTTATTGCTTGCACCCTAGAGGGACACAGAGAAGAGGAATGAGGGCCTCAGTGCCTGGAGAGGCCAGCAGCTCAATGTGCCCCCTGGAGTTGGCGGTGTTTGGCGCACATCAGGGATGAAGTGGGGGTAGAATCCAGATGAGAGATGTGTAGGTGAGGAAAGAGCCAAGTCTTAAAGAGTATTATGGACAATCTCTAACAAATTGTGTTAATTTCCTATTGCTGCTATAACAAATTACCATTAACTCAGTGCCTTAAACAATCCAGATTTCTCATTTTACGGTTCTAGAGGTTAGAGATCTGAAATGGGCCTCCCTGAGCTAACACGGAGGCAGTACAGGGCTGTGTTCTTCCTGGAGGCTCTAGCAGAGACTATGTCTTGCCTTTTTCAGTTTTCAGAGGTTGCCTGTGTTCTTGGCTCCTGGCCCCCTTCCTTCATCTTCAAAATTAGCAAAGGCTGGTTAAGTCCTTCACACTTGGCATCATTCTGATCTGTCATTCTGCTTCTGTCTCCCACTTTCAAGGATGCTTGTGATAACATTGGGTCCACCAAGAGAATCCAGGACAGTCCCCCTATTTTAATGTCAGCTGATTGGCAAATTAATCCCATCTACAACCTGAATTTCCCTTTGCCATGTAAGGTAATGTAATCACAAGTTCTGGGGATGAGGATGTGGACATCTTTGGAAGACCATTACTCTGCCTATACACATACGTGTTCAAGTATAAACAGAACAGTATGAGGAGCCCCATATACCCAGCACTCAGCTTCAACAACGCAGTCTGTCCCCATTTCTCCCCACCTCACCACTGGGTTTTTTTTTTTAAGATTTTATTTATTTATTTGAGAGAGAGAGAGAGACAGCGTGTGCGCACGTGAGAGAGAGCACAAGCAGGGTGGAGGGGCAGAGGGAGAGAGAGAAGCAGGCTCCCCGTTGAGCAGGGCTCGATCCCAGGACCCTGGGATCATGACCTGAGCTGAAGGCAGACTCTTAACCGGCTGAGCCATTCAGGTGCCCCTCACCACTGGATTATTTAAAACAAATCTTAGAAGTTACTGACTCATCTATAGTTGTTTCAGAATAGAGTTCTTTAAAGAAGTTGAGCTACGATGGGACAAGAACATGGGGGCAAGTCACCGGGGGAGAGATGTGGGAGAGTGTGCACGCATGTATTTTTAGTGGGAGAGGCACTGAGGCGTGCTAAATTCTTCACTTTGACATTCAGAGCACTGGGCCGAAATGACATGATGTCAACAGCTGCCACAAGCCTTCAGGACAGGCATGTTCCATTCTGATGAGAAGGATCTAACCGTAGAGGAGACATCGGCTTGGACAAGAGAGAGATCGCCTTCATTAACAGAGGGACATAGGTTGGAAGATTTGGGAGTGAAATTAAGGGAGTTCCTCTCTGCTGGTTTAATTTAGTTCAGTTAAAAAAAATTTTCCCCATTGAATCACAAAGGAGATCTAGGGGGTGTGGAAGTTTTGATGAGCTCTGGAAAAGTTGGAAATAGTCGTGGTGGTGTGGAGAATGAGTGCCCTGAAGAGACATTGTTGGAAGCAGGACACGTTTGGGTCCACTTTGGTGAATTCGGGTGAATCCAGTCAGCTTGGCTGTGTGACTTCCACTAGCGTTGCACATCTGTGTGGGTGTATGTGTTCAGAGAAGGTGGACAATTTGGTTCCTACTGGGTTCGTTTTTTGCTAGGTGGTGTGCCCAAAGGACAAGGTTAGGGTTGTTTGTAAGAGCAGTGGAAATCATGATCCCTAGACTCTTAAGCTGAATAAGAAAGAAGAGGAATGAGTGGCTCTGGGGAGTAAATGGAGCCATGGTGCTGGGATGCTTCAGGAAGCCAGCAGGCAGAGCTGAGCCCGGATCGACTTTAGGGCAGAGAGCAGATCCAGAGTACGTCTTTGGGAGTGAGGCGCCGGAGTGGCGTGAACTAAAAGACAGCTGGAGAATAGGACATCCAGTTACTGAGAGACGAGGCTGTGGGAATGCTCCTCCACATGGGGATGGAGACTACCCCAGATGATGGCAGGAGATGGCAGGTAAAGGTGGGTCTTCCGTGAGTGGAGGTCAGCCAAGCAGAGGAGACAGGAAGGGCCTTGCAAGCGTTATGAGGCGTGGGCCTCAGAAGGGCAGGTGTTTTGACCAGTTATTTCTCTTAAACATTGCCCTCTGTATGAGTGATGACTTCCCCAACTCCCCCTCCAATGGGAAAGTAGTAAGATAGGTAGAACAAAGCAGACTCGATCCAAGAATTCCTGAATAGCAAAAATCATGGATTAACTTGAATATATGGCTACCTCATAAAGAGAGATTTAATGAGCTCTGTCTCCATGTGCTGTACTTTTATATCTGACATTCCTCCTGGGCTCGAAGCCATATATTCTAATGTTGCTTCAGATATGGTTGTGGGTATATTTAATATGCATTATTTATATTGATTTATGATTGAGATGTAGCTTTTTTGAAAGTTTTTAGTGATTTTGTCTATACCATAAAATCCTGCTATAATATGGTAAGTATCATTTAAAAGATTCAGCGTTGTATATGGGGTTGCATTATTGTGAAAGGTGATGAAATACACATGAAAAATGAAACTGTTGAATGCACAGATGACCACTCAACTCAAAGTCTCACATGACAGGAAAAGGAATTCAGCTTGGTGGGCCGTATAATGGACCTAGAAGACACAGGAAAACAGGATATTATGACAAGGGGATGGAATTGCCATTTCTGCTGTGGTTCTCTGTTTGCTTAAAATTGGGTTATTTTGTATTTAACATTTTCTTGTTGACAAGTGACCATTTTGACTTATTCTCGGTCCACCTTTTGGCCATTTCTTCCTGTGAGAGGAGATGCTAATTATATGAATCAAAATAAGTAGCAGCAACAGATTTATTTTTTTATAAAACATAACAGTGTCTCTTCCTTTCTATAATACATATCTTTTTTTCTTTGAAATTCTGTGAACTGAGCCTTCTGTGGTTAGCCTGAGGACGTGAGAAGGCTGTAGAATGATGGTAGAACCACGGGAAGATGTGGAGCCTGATCCCCCCTCCAAACTACTTACCTTGTTGGACTGAACTTTGGTCACTTTTCCTCATCCCAGCAGACTCATCTGGGCCTTTGGGGAGCAGTGGTGATCAGTGTGGTGTTGCTATGGCCACTTGGCCCTTAGCAGTTTGTTTGATATGGTTGCTGTGCCTAGTATTTGTTAAGATCATGGGCTCCCAACTGTGACTCCTGGGTTCAAGGCCTAGCTCTGCCACTTACCGACCACTTACTGACCATGGTCCTTGGGCAGATTTTTAACTGTCGTAAACCTTATGTTACCTGTAGGATTGTTGTGAGAATAAATAGCACAATCCCTGGCACATAGTAGGACTACCCAGTAACTTCCCACCATCTAGTTGGAGCGTTAAACTTGGCTTCACATGACTTACCAATTTGATGTATTTGGGAAGTGTTGGGTTTTAAAGTGTATTGCTTCCTTATTCACCGTATTCCCTGGACATTTCACTTCCCCAGGTAAGGCTTTTCCCTGACCACCCCATTTAAAGCTTCAGCTGTCTACCTGCCACCCCACCCCCCATGCCTCTCCTTACCCCTCCTCCCAGAGTTCCACACCCTCATTTCCTACTTTGTTTTTCATCACTGCACTTACCGCTTTCCAGGATACTATCTTGCGTATTTGCTTTTTCTTTCCAGCTGTCTGCATCCGCTAAAATATAAGCTCCATGAGAGTGGGCTTCCTTGTCTGTTTTGTTCACTGTTATGTTGTCAGTGCTTAGAACAGTGCCTGGCACATAGTGGGTGCACAATAAATCTACATCAGAATGACGAAATTGACTTCAAGAATGGTGATATGAATCTTTATACCACTAAGTATTATAAAAACTGCTGAGCTTAAACATGTTTTATTCACAAGTTCTTAATGATAGTTGGCTTATTTGCCTATCTCAAACCAACTTTCATAGTGGAAGATAATTAAAGCCAAGTAGAACAGGTTTGAAGGGATGATTAAGTTGGATGAGGAGAAGAATAAGGCTGACATTATTAATTCATTTACCAATTTACTTCTGACACCTGTTTTCCTAGCATGAACATCACCAACTACCATGAGGACCAGGGGTATCGATAGTGGACTGTCTTAAGAGTCTGTTGTCCATTTTACCTACAGCAGAACTTTTATTTTTCTCTTTTAGGGCACCAATGCCTCTGCTCTGGAAAAAGACATTGGTCCAGAGCAGTTTCCAATCAATGAACACTACTTTGGATTGGTCAACGTAAGTATTCAAAAATGTATTATTTTTATCAAATGTTTTAGAGTACTGAAGCAACTCCATGGCAGTTTTCCTTATTACCAATTTTTAAATAATTGTTCATGTGCCTTAGTTCCTAGGAATGGTAAATGTTGGGGAGGGAGAAGATTAGTCCAGTTTTTGAAAGTGTCAGTTGTCCCGGAAAAAAAGGTTTAATTACTGCATTGTTGGGTCGGATTCTCACTTCCCCAAAAAAACTTACGATATTTCCTTTGTACACATAACTTTTGGCACCATTTTATTAGACTTTATGGCCACATCTGCTTGTATCATCTGGATGAGCTCCTTAGGCAGTCTTTGTTTCAATATGCATCAGTACAGCCAGAACTTTAAAAGTGTTACCAGCTCATCGGCAGTAACTGTTTAACAATATAACTTGACAGTGGTACTGAAAACAGGGGCAGGTTATTGGGGGGAAGCCGGGATCAGTGGATCTCAGACTTCCTTGGCCTCTTTTTATTGGTGCCCAGCCTTGGCCCCCTCGTGTATGGCCGCACTTAGCAGGCTCTGCTTCCTTGGTAAGTTGATTATGACTAGGTAGTAAGGCAGTATTACCTGCAACCCTCGTGAGCATTCTTCCTCGCCTGATCCTTTCCTCCGGCATGGAGGTTTTCCACACACCCGGTGTTAACTCATAAGTACCCGGTTTTCCGGAACAGCTGCTCTGAGCAGAATCTGTCAGTACCCAAGTGTAACCGGTAGTAATTGCCACTGGGGAAGCTAGACATATTCTCAGCGAGTGAATGCTACTTGTGGCTAATGGAAAGAATGTTGGCTTTGAAGTAATACAGACCTAAGTCTGAATTGTGCCCAGCTATTTACTAGCTGTGTAATCTCGAGCAAGTCGCTTGGCCTCTTTGAGCCTCCATTTCCCCATCTGTAAAATGGAGACCATACAACATCTATCTCTTGGGTTATGGTGAAGGATCAGTGAGAGCTCCTACTGAAGATCCTGACATGAGGCTGAGGCACATTGTGGACACTCAGTGAATGTTAGTTCCTTTTCTTTCCCAGGAGTCATCCCCTGGATTAGGGCCAAGCATTACTAAAGGGTGTCTAGGTAAAGATGGAGGCACTGAGTCAAAGGGAAAAGGATGTAAGGAGGAAGTCTGAAGCACTAGAATATAGGGCATTGTGTTGGCAAAATACTGACTTCTAATTTTAATAGCTTTTTTAGCCATTATGCACAGGCCTCTGCTTAGCCCTATGAAGATAGTTATTCAAGTTGTGAGAAATTCTGCCTTAGCAGAAAACACAAATGGGGAAAAAAAGAATTAAAGCCGTTTCCTAGTTTGTGGAAGTGTTGTGAGATTAAATTTATTAATAGGTTCATTTATGTTCACTTCGAATGGTAATTCATGAAAGTTCCAGCTTCTCTTTAAAAAGAGGTTTGTCTCCTATTACATAATTGTGTCAAAGTAGATTAAAACGTGTAAAAATAGGAAATGTTCTATCTTAGCATACGTAGAAATGTCCCATTAAGTATGGCAGAGCATCTGTCTCACTCTTGGGAAAATGACACACAAGCCAACAACCAGTTTTGAGAAGATGTTCATATTCTATTTTAATCTTACACAGTATTTTGAAATCTATGTTATTAATCTTGTGATTTCTTTAAATTGTTTCCTTTTCGTTTTTCTGTGTGTGGAAAATTCTAAAGGGATAGTGTTAGTCTCGACGGTGTTCTTCCACAGAGTTGGTGTTACGGTCTGTCGAAAACCAATGACATGATGGCATTTTCCTCTTTAGTCATCATCTGAGTAGCCATGGTTTTTGTGAGGAACAAAATATTATGGTGTGAGTCCTCATGTGATTATGCAGGAGACCAGGAACTGAGTGCTGTTGTGTTGGGACGCTTGCCATCTTGGCAGAAACCAGATTGAGGGTGACTTAGGAGTTTGAGGGGAAGAAGCTGGTGGGATGACCTAGGGAGGCACCTCTTTGCCTCTGTCGCTCCGGAGTAAGTGACGACATGCATTCTGAAGCAATGCGCAGGGCCACCAGAATCTTGAACAGGAAAAACTAAAACAAGTGTCCGTGTAGTTAAGGCTGTTTCACCTGAGCAAATAGTTCCTAGTTCCTGGATTTCTTTCTGATTTGGATTTTTATTTTCTGTCATTGGAGTTTCCATTTGTTGCAACATGGCCTCTCTTATTTAGACAGCTACTTTCCTGGGTCTCCATATTATGTCCATTTTTCTCCTCTCTCTCTCTCTTTTTTTTTTTTTAAGATTTTATTTATTTGTCAGAGAGCACAAGCACGGGGAGCGGCAGGCAGAGGGAGAGGGAGAAGCAGACTCCACACTGACCAGGGAGCCCGACACAGGGCTTGATACCAGGACCCCAGGATCATGACCTGAACCGAAGGCAGACGCCTAACTGACTGAGCCACCCAGGCGTGCCTCTTTTTTTTTTTTTTTTTTTAAAGCACCAGAAGGTCTCCTTAGATTTTATTTTATTTTTTTTTTTTTTAAGATTTTATTTATTTATTTGACAGAGACACAGCGAGAGAGGGAACACAAGCAGGGGGAGTGGGAGAGGGAGAAGCAGACTCTCCGCTGAGCAGGGAGCCCGATGTGGGTCTCGATCCCAGGACCCTGGGATCATGACCTGAGCTGAAGGCAGATGCTTAACGACGGAGCCACCCAGGCGCCCCAGATTTTTTTTTTTTTTTTTTTAAATCAAGGCTCAGTACTTATCATTTTAGGGACTTTTATTTTTTTTTTAGACCCCAGGCTGATGTAAACTTGTATTCGTTTCCCTGTTGCTCAGATAGTCCCTGGTGTTGCGAGGGGTTTACTAGTCTCTAGCATGGTGAGCAGGACGCTGCTGCCGGGAAATCTGGGCTGGCTCCTGGAGGGCGGGCTCCTCCAGACCGTGACCTGAAGCATCCCTGTCGTCCCTTGGCAGTTCGGAAACACGTGCTACTGTAACTCTGTGCTGCAGGCGTTGTACTTCTGCCGGCCGTTCCGGGAGAATGTGCTGGCGTACAAGGCCCAGCAAAAAAAGAAGGAAAACTTACTGACGTGCCTGGCAGACCTCTTCCATAGCATCGCCACGCAGAAGAAGAAGGTTGGCGTGATCCCACCAAAGAAGTTCATCTCGCGGCTGAGAAAAGAGAACGGTGAGTAATGTGTTTAAGGGTCCAAAATAAGAATTCATAGTTCTGTGGATCCTCCAAATGAATCTCCCCTCTTTTTTTTTTTTTTTAAAGGGAAAAGAGTCTGACCAACTACTTGAAAATCACTTTTTTGTTTTTTTTTAAAGAAGATGTAATTCTCCTTTTCCGCCCTGTAAACTTAAGACTGGATAAAAAAACATGGTTATAAATTCAGATTTATCATTCCATTTTGGAATGGTCTTTTTATTTGCTCCACATTGGGAGGAGTTTTTCCTGGGTAGGACCATTGTGAGAGAGAAATTGCCCAAGGCAGCCTTCTAAGCAGAACGCTGATTGGAATAAATAGGTTGGTACAATAATTGAATAAAATAGTACTCTTAAAATCTTGTCATAAGTGATTAAAGTAAATGTATATTGTCTAATCAGAGCTCTTGCTGTTTTAAAAATAATATCTCTGACTTTTGCCTAAGATAGTTGAAGGATATTGATATGTTTATATTATTAAAATGACCTGCTGTCGCCTGATTTTTTTTTTTCATTTCTGGTTTTTCTATCTTCTTTTTTGGGAAAAGTGGTAGTAGAGACTAGGTTATTCCAGAAGCTTTGCATTGGTAATTTCTACTACTAGAAATAGTTGATATGGCAACTTGTGTTTATCCTAGATTTCAGCCTTACTCCAGCAGACTTGCACAGTTAATCAGATGTTTGTTTTATAAAGTCTCATTTAATTTGATTGCTGTCTTTTAAAGTTGTTGTAGTTTATATGTACCAGAATAAAAATAATCTGAGCAGGAAGCAGAGCACTCCCGAGTCTTGTCGCGAACATGATTAATAATGAAGTTTCACAGCTGCATTCATCTCTTGATTGTCCTTATGGCAGGGAACAGCAGTAAGCTTCTGGAATCATTTGTATTTGGTTTCAGAACACCATCAGATAGATACATGTATCCCCCATGTCCCATATGTGTTTCATTTAAGCTGCTTCCAGTCTGGTCCAGGGTCTAATATGATCTTTGGGAAAAGGAGAATTACATCTAGATAAACTGCAAAATGAATAATTGATCGTTGGCGGTCACGTCATACTAAATACTGATATTTTATCACAGAACTTATGAAATAATTTCTGGGGTTTTCTGTAAAATAAAAATTTTGGTAGCGTTTATATAGGTGATGACTTTAGGGAGATAGGGGAAGTGTAGTTCTTGGGTGGTAGGAAAAAGGGTAATGAACAAAAATTCTTCTAAAATTTACCCATTAAAGTTGCAAAATAGAGATGAATATATGTGATACCTGTCCCGTTGACATTTCAATATAAAAATTGAAGTGTGCACGTAAAATTAAGCATTTTGTTTGCTTTTCAAGAACTGGAGATTGAAATAATGACCTTCTCTTTTCCAGATCTCTTTGATAACTACATGCAGCAGGATGCTCACGAGTTTTTAAATTATTTGCTAAACACTATTGCGGACATCCTGCAGGAAGAGAAAAAACAGGAAAAACAAAATGGAAAATTAAAAAATGGCAACATGAATGAACCTGCAGAGAACAATAAACCAGAACTCACCTGGGTCCATGAGATTTTTCAGGGAACGCTGACCAATGAAACTCGATGCTTGAACTGTGAAACCGTAAGCATTGAGAGGCTTTCATGTAATTTGCTTGTGCGTATTTGTACAGGCTCTGTTGTGCATGAGTGCACTGTGGTCTGCAGCGCCTAGTAGTTGTTTGCAATATATGCAGACGATTCTCTTGATGTATATGAGCCCCGGGGCAAACTTTTGGAAGCGTGTCTCCATCCAAGATGTCTCAGCTGGCTAAAGCAGACGGATGAGGGAAAATCTCAAAAACTGGATTGCTTTGCGTCATGGGCATATTTGAGGGTCCACCAATTGCACTGTTAACCTGGACCTCCACCAGTTATCTTGAAAAGATTTTGCTCACGCAGAGGTCCCCACGTGAGACTTAGAATAGACCATCTCCCCAACTTAAAGGAATCAGCTGTGGGTTGGTGAACTTGAAGTTGGAAGTCAGGCTTGGCTTTGGATTCTGCTGCAGTTTGCTGGGTCTTGGGGCGAGTCCCTTCCAGTGCTGTTGCCTGGGCTGGGTGGGCTCATGTGTTTGGATGATTCTGGCACACAGTAGGCACTTACCGTAGTTGAATTCAAAGACATGGTCTCCGGGGCATGACTCAGGATGTCACGTTTGCTTGGTGTATTGGATTTAGCTCTGTGAGGGGCCTCCTCATTTGGTGGTTAAAAGCCCAGCTTTAGAGCCAGGCTGCTGAGCTTGTATGCTGCTGGTTCTGTCATGCCTTTGTTATGGGACCCTGGGCATATTATTCAACCTCTCTGTCTTCACTCTCTTCATCTGTAAGTTGGGTACAATGAGAGCACCTGTGTCATAGAGTCGCTTGGGAGGATGAAATGAGTTAACAGTTGGAAAGCACACAGAGCCATGCTTGGCACATGGCAGATAGGCAATAAATGTCAGCTGTTATTATTTACTGTAACTACTAACAACATAGCAAGTCTCCGAGTTCATTAGCAGTCTCTCAGTTTCTTCACATCGTAACAAAAATTCTGTAGGTCTGTACATTTTCTGAGGGGAGAGAGAGAGTACCTCTCATTGGTTCTGCAAAGGAACTAGGACCCAGAAATGATTAAGAAATGTGAATTTAAGTGGGAGGCTCTTTGTTTTTTGGCAGTCTTTCTCCTGTCCTTTTAAACAGTTTTTGAATCAACGTTCTGATTTGTTCATTGTAGAAACAACTAGAAAACATAGCTAAGCAAAAAGAGAAAAAAGAGAGTAAAAGTTACTAGTGATCTCCCCACCCGGAGATGATAAATTTGTAACATTTTCTAAAAATTGTGATCACATTTGCCCAGAGAGAACCACTTGAACATTTTGAAATATATCCTGCCAAAACATTTTCTACACATACTTTTCTATCTAGAGATCTTTCCTCCCTCCCTTTTTCCTTCTGTCCCTTTATATTTTATATTCCAGTAAAATCCAAATGAATACAGAAGTAGAAGAGTAGAGTAAATCCCATATGGGTATTACTATGATTGTTAACACATCGGCCCATCTTGATCATTTCTTGTTTCGTGCCTCCTCCCCCACCCTTGCCAACCTGGTCATTTTTAAGCAAATCTCAGATGACTTATCATTTCATTTATAGTTTCTTCATCACTTTGTAACATATTTCTAAAAGATGAGACATCTTTTTTTTTTAAACAAAAGCACCGTACCATTATCACACCTAAAAATAATTCCTTTAAACCATTATTCACTTAGTGTTCAGGTTTCTCTGATTATGTCATACTTCTTTTTTTTTTTTAGCAGTTGGTTAATTCACATAAGGATCTAAAACATCATCCACACTGCCTTTAGCCAGTTCTGTCTCAGTCTGTAAGTTACCACCCACTGCTCCCCCTCCCTTCCTTTTTTTTTTTTTTTGCAAGTTAGTTATTGAAGAAATCATGTTTGTCCTGTAGAATTTCCCACATTCTGGAGGCATCCTGTGGTGTTAACAGGTACAATAAAATGGCAGTATGTTTCTATCATCCTACTCTGTCTATTTAACCCTCCTATTTTATATTCCTTTTTCTTCTTGCCTTCTTTTGTATCAAATATTTTTCTTCTTTTTCTTTTTTTTTGCATCTATTGTTAGTTTCAAAGTCTCTTAGAAGTTACTCTTTTTTTTTCAATATACATCTTTGCCATAGTTAATTTTTTACCACTTTCCCAACATTGCTAGAACTTGTGGAATACTTCATCTCCTTTTCCTTTTGTGTTACTGTTTTGTGATGAACTCATGACTTTTAACATTCCACGTGCTTTAAATCCATTGCAGTTTTTTATTCTTGATACTGAATGTATTTTTAGAATAACTTCACACCCTCTTAAACATCGAAATCATGGCTATATTGTAAATATTATAACTTGCAGATTTGTAGTCTTTTTGTTGTCTCCCCTCTTTTTGATGAGGGACTTTTCCTTGGCACCATCCTCACCTTACGTCTTGTGCCTGTTCTGCCATCGGTTCTGTCTGTTGTATCTCTTTTTCATTCTGTCTTTCTCTCAGTCCCCACGGCTCACACCCTGGCTCAGGCCCCTCAGCTCTCGACTGGCAGACTCAGCTAAATTGCAGTAACTTCTTACTGGATCTTCTGCCCCTTTCTTGCCTCCTCCATGTTCCTGTCCTAACTAATGCAGTGTGTTCGTTGAGTGTTTGGTAGGACTTGAAACTTACTTTTGTATCCCTAAAGTGCATCATTCAGTTTGGCTTGTCTTTTGTCTCTATATGAATGAAATAATACAACATGTATTCTGTGTGCGGTGTTTTGGGTTTGCTTTTTTGTTGAGAATCATTTGTGTTGTTACGTGATGCTTTCAGTCGTTTTCATTGCCATGTAGTATTCCATGCATGAATACGTGATAGTTCACTAGTTTATTTCACTGTTGGTGGAAATTGGGTCGTTTCCAATTTGGGGCAGCTATGACCAATGCTGCTATGAACATTCCCATACGTATAATCAAGTGTACATAAATCTGTATATATATATTTTTTTCTGTATATATTTTTAGGTTCTATGGTATGCTTATCAGAAAATATCAAATCCCCAAAGTGGTCGTCCCATTTTACACATCCAGTGTATGATCATTCTCATTTCTCCACATTGTTGTCTGTACCTAGTATTCTTAGATGGCTTCACTTTGGGTAATATAGTGGCTGTGTAGCTGAGTATTATTTTATTCCATAAACACCTCCCCCTGCCTCAACCTGCTGTGTAAAGGCACGGATACTGAGAAGGGTTCAGTGAGAACCTTGCCTTTCTGGGACTTTCACATGGAAGACAGACATTAATAAAATGAATACTGAGTTTTGTCATTACAATTGTAAAATGCTATGAAGGAGAAGTACAGAGTACCCTATGAGCTTTTGATACAGGAACCGGAACAGTGGGGTGGCGCATTTCTATGGTTAGCCGGGAAATCTGCCGCAGACGGTGTAGCTGGGCTGGTCCTTTGGTTGTCTTTGAAATTACCAGGGGTACTAAGTCCATCCTGTGGAACACTCGGTAGGAGTTTTCAGGAAGGCTCAGATGATAGGCTTAGTCACATTTGTATTTTTTTTTTTTTAATCTATGAACAGGTTATTCAATCCCAACAAATGCAAATAATGCACCCTCAAATATTGTATGGCAGAAACTATCACCTAGCCTGTTACTTTCCTAGAGGGTTACCATTAGATGTGACGCCTGTGCCCAGAGATTCCCTTCAAAACTTCTGGGTGATGGTGGGGTGCCTGGGTGGCTCAGTCAGCTAAGCATCTGCCTGTGGCTCAGGTCATGATCCCAGGGTCCTGGGATCGAGCCCCGTGTTGGGCTCCCTGCTCAGTGCGGAGCCTGCTTCTCCCTCTCCTTCTGCTCTCCCCCTGCTTGTGCTCTCTTGCTGTCAAATAAATAAATAAAATCTTAAAAAAAAAAAAAAAACTTTTGGGTGATGCCATAGTTTGTTGTAATGGGATTCCAAACATTATACTTGCTTTGTTGAAGTAAGAGCAAATGTATGAGTGTCTTTATGGAGGATGGCACACTCTGAAAAACCTGTATTTTTTAATTCTTTTTTTTAAGATTTTGTCTGAGAAGAGAGAGAGCAGGAGCAGGGGGAGACGGAGAAGCTGACCCCCCGCGGAGCAGGGAGTCCATTGTGGGGCTCTATCCCAGGACCCTGGGATCATGACCTGAGCTAAAGGCAGATGCTTAACCGACTGAGCCACCCAGGGGACCCCTGTATTTTTTATTTCTTAAAGTGATTAGACTTGAGGCAGGAGTTTTCCTTGGAGTTACTTAGGTAATCACCTCCATTTCTTAGATCCTTTAACTGGATGGGATCCTAGGAGTCATCCATTCCTTCCCTGCCAGTGCCCACATCCCTTCTGTGACATCCTAGCCAGTTGGTCACCAGCATCTGCTGGCCTCTGTCCAGAGATGGGGAACTCAATCTCTCTGGGTGATGCATTCCATTTTTAGAAAGCTCTAATTGTTAGAAAAGCCCTCTACTTTCTAAGAAAATACATAGCCTGCAGGCTGTTTTTGAGGACTTAGTGTAAAAGAAGACCTAACATTTAAGTTTTCCTTCACAGGATCAGAAATATGGGGCCCCCTTTGAGTAACGTCCTTGGCCCAAGGCAAGTAGCCTTTAGATGGTGCTTCAGTCACAGTTATGAAATCTCACAGTGGGATTCAGCTATACTCGATCCTGAGCTGCAAATTAGCCCCTGAGGGAGGCAGGGAGCCCTGCTATTGGAGCCACCCCACCCGCCAGTGCCTCCAGTTGTGCAAAACTCTTTGTGCCAGCCTTCATGCTTTCAGAAAAACATAATTTTTTTTCTTGGTCTCGCCCTTTGTAAATGTTGCTTGTGATTGCAGTGCAAATGTCAACTGAGAGATTTATGGAGACGAACAGTTTCACTCGGCAATACACTTGGAGAGACTATTTTAAGGGGGTAATTCAGTGCACACTTTTCCATATAACCTTGATCAAGGCACCTCAGAATTGAGGCATGGGGATTTTCCAGCCTAGCCTCAGTGCTCCTTTGGCTGTTCTTTGCTTGGTTCAT